TCTTCTTCTTCTTCTTCTTCTTCTTCTTCTTCTTCTTCTTCTTCTTCTTCTTCTTCTTCTTCTTCTTCTTCTTCTTCTTTTCTTCCTTCTTCCTTCTTCCTTCTTCTTGTTCTTCTTCTGGCAGAACTGGAGATTGAATTCAGGCCCTTGCACTTGCCAGGGAAGCGCTTATTCCACTAAGCCATCTCCCTGGCCCCTCTATATCTTCTTTTTCTTTCTTTCTTTCTTTCTTTCTTTCTTTCTTTCTTTCTTTCTTTCTTTCTTTCTTTCTTTCTTTCTTTTGTATTTTAGGAAAGGATCTACAGGGTGTTTAGGGTCTAACTACTAGATCAGACTCATAGTGATCCATCTGTTTACAGCTTTCCAAGAGCTGGGATTATAGGCACACACCACCACACCCAGTCTCAGTTGCCATCTCAGCATGCCCTGGGGGGTGGGACCGGCACAGCAGGCCTGAAGATTGAACCCCCAGCCCCCATGCCTGCCTGCTTGCAGGTGCTTTAATCCACTGAGTTATTTGGTCAACCCTTGTATATCTTCTTGACTCAGTTTTGGCATTTCATATATATCTAGGAAACTGTCCATTTCCTCTGTGTTTTCCATCCTGTGATAGTAAAGATTTTGGAATTAGGCACTGATGATCTTCTTAATTTCTCTAGGGTATGTCATGATTTTGCCCTTTTTATTCTTTATTGTATAAGATTTTTTCTTTCTGTTTTTTTATTAGGTTGGCTAAGGGTTTATTAATTGTTTTTTTTTTTAATTTTTTCAAAGAACCAAGTCTTTGATTCAGTTATTCTTTGTATTGTTTTCTTCATCTCCAATGCATCAATTTCTGTTCTAATCTTTATAATTTCCTGCCTTCTTTGGGCTTTGGGTTTGACTTGCTCTTCTTTTTCTAGGGGCTTGAGGTACAGCATAAGATTGCTTATTTGGGCTTATTCTGGTTTCCTAATGTGTGAATATACTACTATAAATTTTTCTATTAAGAAAGCTTTCATTGCATCCCATAGGTATTGGCAAGTTGTATCTTCATTTTCATTTGATTGTAGATATGTTCTAATTTCTTCTTTCATTTCATGTGTGACCTAGTGGATGTTTAGGAGGCTTTTATTTATTTTGTATGTGTTTATTGTGCTTTTGTAGTTTCTTTTGTCAATAATTTCAAGTTTCATTGCATTATGGTCACAGTATGCACACAAATATTGCAGTTCCTTTGCATGTATTTAAAAGTGCTCTTTGCGAGTATATGGTCTATTTTGTAGAATGTCACATGTTTAGCTGATAAGAAAGTGTATTCCTTTGTTGCTGTGTGAAACTCTGTAAAGGTCTACCAAGTCTATTTCTTCACAAGTTTGTTATTTCTTTGCCGATTTTTTTTTTGCCTAGTTGATCTCTTTGTGACAGTGGCATGTTAAAATCCCCCATTATTATTGTATTATTGCACATTTGATTTTGCATGTCTGTTAAAATTTGTCTTATGCAGGAGGGTGCTCCTACATTGGGTGTACATAACTTTATAATTGTTACCTCTTGCTCTTGCAATTTTCTCCTAACCAGTATGTAATGATCTTTTTTTTTTTTTTTAATCTCTTTGAATGATTTTTACTTTGAAGTTGATATTGTCAGCACCCAGGATAGCTACCCTCATTCGTTTTGTATTTACTGTGGTATGGAAGCTTGTCCATCTCTGACTTTTACTCTGTGAATTTCCTTTTGAGTTAAATGTTTCTTGTATGCACTATGTTGCTGGATTTTATTTCTTAATCCACTTTGTTAAGTCTGTTTCTTTTGATTGGTGAATTAAGACCATTTACATTGATTACTATAACTGATATTATTGGCTATTCTTTGTCATATTATTTTCCTATTATAGGTTCTGTATTTTCTGCCTCTTTTTAATTACCTGACATATTTGGTGGTTCCTTTCTGTTTGTTCTTCTTGAAGCAGTGATCACCTCTGTGTGTTCTGAGAATATCAGTCAGTACTCTTTGTAGGGTTGGTTTGGTGGTCATGAATTTCTTCAATTTCTCTTTGTGTTGTTGGTTGACTTCTTGATGATAGCCATTCTTTGTGGAGTGAGTTTAAATCTCAGTGTTGTTTTAATTTGCACATGTAAAATGATAATGATACTGAACATTTTTTCATATATTTATTGGCATTTATATTTCTTCATTGGAAAATGGTATATTCATCTCAGATGCCCATCATTGGCCTGGATCTTTGAATTTTGTGACAACAGTAGGACTCACCAAGGCTTTTGCTACTGTTGGGTGTGTGTGTGTGTGTGTGTGTGTGTGTAGGAGTCAGTAGCCAAAGCTCAGCAAAGCTTCTGCTCAGGTAGTGGGCATAGGCCAGACTCGCCAGGACCCCACAGCTGCCTGGTATCTGCCCATGCCCTGAGATGCTGGGATAGTACTCCAGCACATCCACCAAGCTTCTAAAATGGTAGTGTGGGGGCTACTCTCACCAGGTCCCTGTAGCTGCCTGATGTCTACCTGCATTCTCAGAATGTGGGATCACCACCCCAATTCCACTCCTACTGTGATGAACCTGAAAGGAAGTCCTGGTATCTGTAACAAAACTTTTGTGGCAGATCCCTCCTCAAACCACGAGCCAGATTTGTGCTAACCTTGCTAGGAGTCAATGTTCATGAGGAATTGAACACAAATGATGATATTAAAGTCAAAATAACAGCTCTTTTATATTGTGTTTTTTATGGTCAGACATTGTCTTTAACAAGCTTCTGAAATGCTAAAATTAACCCTACTGAACGGATGTGAAAACTGAATTCCTGGTAGTCTGCTCAGGGTCACAGTGCTAAGAAGGGACGACTTTTGAAAACAGAATCAATCTACCTAACTTGGCTGGTCTGAGCATTAAATAAAAATGGAAAATAACATAGGCAAATCACTTCCAAATCAGTCTAAGTTTGCTGCTGGCCTGTATGTCTTCCATGAGCTTTGTGCCAGTGGAGAAGCACTCTGAGAGGCCTATACAAAGACTAAACTGGGATCTTGGGATGAGCAACAATCATTGGGAGCATTGTGGGCAAATTATGGGGGAAGACAATCAATTTTCCTCCTGCTAACTCACTTTGGACAGGAGTAATAAGCAGTGAGTAAATAGAAGTTGTATTACTGGAGATATGGGAGGAAACTTAGGTTGGCCGAGACTGTGGCCTCACTTTGGGTGGAGATGACAAAGAGCAGCACTAAGCTCATCAGTTCACATCTGCCCGCTGCATGCTGCAGTGTGAACAACCTCCATCCTCAGAGCAGAACAAGGATCTGGACTTTTCTGCATGTAGTGAGTCTGAATAGGCTCACTACTAGAAGGAGTAATGTGTCTTCATCAATTTAGGATTTTAATGGGTATAATTTAACTTGCTAAAAGACCTAATTTAAAAACAACATTTAAAGATTAAATTTCATATTTTAATAAGAAAAAAAAAGACAAAAGCTTCTATTTAGACTGACACAGAGTATAAAATCATCCAGTGGCTAATTGTAGTTTACAGAGGGGAGCAGAGGTGAAACAAGATTGGCCATGGCTTACTCCTTGTGGAAGCTATGTTATAGAGATTACACTATTCTCACAACTCTTATGTACTGTTTTAATGTTTCAATGTTTTCTTAAACTATGGAGGTAAATTTAAGTAATGAGTCATCTTTCTTTTTTGCAGTAGAAGCCACATGTATTGATATTTATAAATTATACTGCATTATGTGCTTGACAGATCCTTAATATCTATGTGGCTCCCCTGAACAGTGACTATGACCTTCAGGATGCTTCTCTCTTTCCATAACTTAGAATATTTCAGTTCTTGGTATCTTGCAGACAACTGGGCATCTGTGTCAGCCAGAAAACCACCTGTATCTACCTGTATTCCTCTCATCCCTGGCACAGGGACTGCAGAGCGTTTGCAGAGGTGGGCTGACACCAGCAACAGTCTTGGCTGAACAGAAATGAGGAAGAGGGAAGCTTTCTTCAATATTCAATGTGAAAAGGATAATCTTTGTGATTTTCAGTTCTGAAAAAAAAAGAAATAGAAAGCAAAGAATTATTATATTTTAAAATATTTTAAATGATAACTAGGTAATTTTAACTTTGTAGTGTATATAGCAGTGCTTGAGTTCATTCAGTGGACCATCTACAAAACAGAAGAATGATGGTAAGAAAGTATAATAAACTTAAAATGTGCATTGTATATCTTTTCACAAATCAGTCATCCAATCTGTACAGTACAGTAGATAGTCTAGTTGTGACAGTGCTGACATAGGAACAACTTGGGTTACTACTAGAATTTTAGCTTTAATTTATAACCAAAGTCTCAAAGTTATGTCCCAAATGCCAGTCACTAATGCTTCCAGGTGGTCTCAGATAACATTTAACCCTTACAGGGTTCTTAACGGAACATTGCAACATCTTTTTCTATATGAGGAAGTTGAAAATTCCTGGCTAATGTCTTTAAGGACACTGAGATCTGCCTTTAGCAGAGAGTCCGAAGGCTATGTTGAGGAGCCTAAACCTGCAATGGAGACCTTGAGTTATAATCAGCTCTTGGAACTGAATTGAGTTTGTAAGGGTGTATGGTACATTGCCCCATTTAAAAAGATAATAAAGTCATATTTACGTGGGGAATGTGGCCAATCGGAGATTCTTTTCTAGACTGAAGATGTCATTCATATCTTGCTCTGTTAATTCAAAATCAAGTACCTAGAATGAAAATAAAATATGAATAAAAAACTTAGTTTAATTCACATATGTTAAATACAACATGTAATAAATTAGAAAAGGACATAAAAATATAAAAAAATTCTACATGGACTTCTGAATTATAGTCTAGGTTCTCAAAAGGTAATTTAATATGATGATTTGACTGGTACTGGCTTAGCTTGTTTACATTTAGGAAATCTGAGTTAGATGGAATATCTATTGCTCTTATTTTATGGAAGTAAAGAACACATTAGAATTAAAAGATAGCAGATATCTTTTTTCTTT